GATGACACTAAAATAAAATTTTACAGTGGAATGATATGAACAGAAACAACAACAATTGTGAATATATGACCTACTTCAATTCCTAGAGTTAAGAAGAGGAGATTGAAGGAGGCTTTGATACCATATCAAGAAACACAATTGTGGAATAATTTTTTGATAATTCCATTCATCGTAGTTGTACAATATATATAGTAAAAATATTAACAAGGAAAAAATAAAAGATTACAGAGAAATATCCTACAACTATCGAATAAAATAAGATTACATAATTAAGGATATTGACCAAATCAAATATTGACCAATTCATATTCTTAAATTTAGCAATAACTACATTACAGGTCATGTTTTAGGTTGGATAACACTTTAAAAACTAAATGTTTAAAGTGTTAATATACAAATCTTATGGACAAGTGCCATGTTAGGATTTAGGGAAAAAAAAGGAATTTTTGACAAGTGTCTTGTGATGTACTGTATGCATCACCAAATGAAACCAACAAAGTGACGTAAAAGCCTTGGAGCTTAAGTCATTCCCACTATAAATACCTATCCATGATCAGTAGCGAAATCAAGGAAAAAGAAAGGAGAAAAAAAGAGGAAGAAAGAGAGAGAGAGGAGAAAGAATGGAAGAGAGGGAAAGGGGAAAGAAAGAAAGAAAAATATATAAGATTTTGGAGTCAAAAATTGAACAATGATTTCAATTCAAATCACTACTAAATTTACATATCTGATTCGCGGTATTTCGAATTTCACATATATTGAATTCATTGGTGATTTGAGGTACGAGGTAGTATATAACGTGCTCTTGTCTTTTAAATCTTTTTGCAATGAATGTCCTTTGATTATCTGAAATTTGTATTCTAATTGATTATTCTGATTGATATAAATTTTGTCAATTTTATCGGTTGACTTATATTTTGGGATAAATACTTTGGGATTGATTGATACATGTACGAAGTGTACTTGGGGCATAATTGATGAAATGTGATTATGGCCCCTGCGGGGTGCGATTGTGATTATAGTCCTGTGGTTGTGATTAATTATTATGAGTATGAATTTATATGCTCAAATGTCACTTATCATATCACTAAGAAGAACCGAGTGTGAGGCTATGTTGATAGCACTTGAGCTATGTGGTCTCTCAAATGTGATTCTTGATTTTGTTATCCATGATTCTTATTATCTGAATTATTTGGTAGTTGGTCATTCATATTTTTCTCGTTGAGCATATTGTTTCTAGTTATATCGTATACTTTCCCACTTTTAATATTTTTTCAGGATAATCTCGAGGGAATGACCAAAGTTGATATTTGAGGAATCAAAGATGGACGAATTTTGATATAATTTTTAACTTTTATTGGTATTTGGAGATCAAAATTGTGATTATAAATTTATGGAGACAATTAAAGCTCTGTCTTTGTATTCAGAGATATTTGTGTTTTATTGTGATTGATTGATTTATCAAGTAACGCGTCCCGAAAATGGGGCGTTATAATATTTATTCATTTGGTTGTTATATTTGTGCCTGGTAGATTACTCAATTGACCCCTAAGTCAATAATAGGTTAATTGAGGGATAAAGATGAAATGTGTGAATTAAGAGCATGACTCCGATGTCTTTGTAGAGAATTGCAAGGATTGTTTATGCCGAAACTTAATCCGTCTATATTCAAGCAAACAGTTCTACAAATCATCCAGCAATTGTTAAGTTATCTCATCATTAGTTAAAGCATAATGTAAATGAAAATTCAAAGATTGTCATGAAGACTTAGCTTGGGTACTTGTAGGGAATCAATGAAATCCTCTATGTCAACTCTTAACTTGTCTATAGGTGGTCTATGATCATGCAAAACACTTTAGCTTTGCTAGGTATATTCAATCATTCAATATATTATGAAAAGATAAAATATTAAGCATAAATGAAGTGCACAAATATAACTTCTGAACAATAATGTAAATGTCTATCACTTCTTGTTAAAATGTAAATGAGAAATTACTCACTATTCATGGTTTTGAGGAAGTTAGAAAAGTGAGTGAATCACATTCCTCAAAGTAGAGGAACTTAGAATTACAAGTTAAAAATTACTAAAATGATATGTTTATCACCGATAAAAAATGAGTGAAACACTAACCACTCTTCAAAGCCACACAAAAGCTAGAAATGTGAGAGAGATTCACTTCTCTAAGTGAAGTAGAAAGCTTTACAATAGAAGCTAATGAAAGTAACACAAGAAGTAGAAGAGAACTAGTTACTTTGTAGGGGTATTCCCACTTCCAAAAGTTATCATAAAACAATGGTCAAGGGGTGGTATTTATAGGCAAAGGAGGAAGGTAAATGACAGACTTAGGTGCTTAAAGTCCAAGCATAGGCTAGAAAATCTACATGGAAATTCAATCTGTAGTGGTTCTGTCTTGGTTTGGCGTTCGAACGTGATCTGGCGTTTAAACGTGGTGCCTTTTCTCTTTGAAGTGAGTTCGAACATTAATGGAGTTTGAACATGGTCATTAATGCAGATCTGCTCGTTGATCCAAAGTTTTTTTTCTTGAGCTCCAAATTTTTCCAACATAATACATACTATGAAAAAAAATTATATTAGGAATAGATTCAAATTGGAGTCCTAAAATAAGTTTGGATGCAAATCAATTGAAATTGGATCCGTTGGCAAAGCTAGATGGAGTGGGACATGTGAGAATAGTCTCTTCTTGGGAAGGTAAATATATAAAAAGAAGTTTGAAATTTTTAAGTATCAAATATAATGTGGTGAATATAAATATATTATATAATTTTTATTGATTAGTAGAAAAAATTAAAATTTGATAAAGTGCCCACCTTATAACAATATTTTGGCTCCACCCCTCCTCCATGAGAGAGAGAGAGAGACTTGTCCTGTTCCAGCTTGAGAGTTCCAAGGCTGTGTAATTGGTAAATGAGAAAATGGAAAGAGAATCCTTTCAACTTTCCTTTTCATCTTATTGCTTCTTCCAACATGATTTTTTTTTTAATTCAATTTTTAAACATGTCAATTTAAAATTTTATTATTAATCGGTAATATCAGACTTTTTCTTATAAATCTGGCGTCAGCCATCTCTCTCTCTGGGATTGGAGAGAAGGATCTAGGCACCAACAGTAAGTACGAAAACAAGAGACTGTTGTGGCTAGCCATGCTGAGGCTGGTCTCTGGTTCCAGCATGATGTTTCCCTTGATTTCGCTTCTCTCCTTCTCACCCACAAACAAAATAGCCGTACACAGGTCTTGCCCATCATTTTCTGTGGTTTCATTTCCAGTAACTCTGTTGTGTCTGTCCCACAAATTTAGTTTGTATCATAGAGAGAGAGAGAGATCAGTGGACCTTTCTTTTTGTACAGCTTCGATTAAAAAATGCGATTATATGAACTTATGATGACTTTTTCGATCTTTAACAGTTTAGCTACTAAAATGGAATTACTAAAGAAGTTGTAAGCAGATACAGTTTTCTTAAGCATAAAGGTCCTACCACTTACGGCAATTATGTCTTATCTTATCTTCCATCAATCAGTTGTAACAGATATATTAAGCGATTGAATGAATATTCAAAATCAGTTCCAAAAAAAAAAAAAAAAGTGCAAAAGCGTACATTTTAATTTTCTTAATTTACTTTTATTATTGTTTTGTTTCGTAGGTTACTTTTATCAGTGTTAGATCAACGTGAAAGGAATCAAACATGCTCGTTACTGCTTACTATGCCCTGAATTGAATGAACCAAGCTGGAGTTATGGTTGTTGGAGAGAGAGAGAGATGTGACGATTGAAACAGTAAGTTTGATGTGCATGTAAGAAGATTAGAAGAGTGTGAAGTATGAACAGTGAAGAACTGTAAAGTAGGGACAGTCTTTTTGCTCGTACTGAGCATAGCCGACCAGAGCTCGCCCACCAAAGCAAATGCCGCGACCTATTGAAGCTATTTGCTTCCCGACGAAGAGAAAATATACATCACTCCAATAGTGTAATACAATACGATATATGGCTACAGAAACTCTCTCTCTCTCTCTCTCTCTCTCTCTGGGGTGGGATAATGGGAGACAACAACCGACCCTAATTTCCTGACCCTGTCTTTGGCTCTTTTCACTTCATCTTCCTATTTTTTTTTAGTAATATTAGATTGATTAAATTTTGAAATTATATTTAAAATTCAAATGACATGACAGCTGATTTAGTTTTTTTTGATTGGTGTCATGTTAATTGAGTCCGAATAAAAACTTCAAATAATCAACTGTCATATCATTTGGACTTCAAATTTGATCCTAAAATTTAGTCACTATAGCATTACTCATTTTTTTTTTATCTTCTCTACTTTCTGGTTGTTTGTTAAATTTCATTACTTAATTGTTTTTCTTTCCACACATCTCTAATTGAATGAGACACAACTCCCCAAAATATATAATAAAAGCTCAAATCATCACGATCCAAGGATTTATATTATAACTTTTATTTAAACAACCGCTAATTTTTTCACTTATATTCTATCCAAGATAAAGTTGTCTAGTGATTTTTATCCACAACAAATCTATCCGCTAATATTTTAACTACAAATTTATATTTTACTCACAATAAAAAGAAAAAAGAGTGCACAAAATTGGCCATAGGATTGCACCCGGGCACCCTAATTTTTCAACCAGGAGTTCGTTCTTTCAACTCCCAATATTGTCTCATTCTCACTCTCCCTCAGTCATCTCTCTCTCCCCCCCCTCCCTCCTGCTTTGGCATATTTTTTTTCATTATGTTTGGTCACACCACAGAAGTGATATCTTGTCTATCCTTTTTTACCCAACAGGATTTTGCTTTATCCTTGCATCTGTTTTAATCATATCACTCTTCATCTTTACACTTCTTTTAATTTGGTGTTTTTGTTCAGTCTTTACCTTTTAAACTTTTTGGTCGTCTTTATTTTTGCTCTCTCTCTCTCTCCCCGTGTGTGTATAATAAGGTTATTCATCCACCTTACTGTTCTCCTCCCAACTTACACCATGAATGATCCCTCCTCCAATTACTTCAATGGATGGTTCAACCTCAACCCCCTCCATCACTTCCCTACCTCTACCTCTTCTTCCAACTACCCATCTCTTTATCCTCCTTATACCTTAGATTTCTACTCAAATAAGATCAACAGCACCTCTTTCACTCACTATCAGTCCTTACCCCCTTCTCCACCTCTCAGAGAAGCCCTTCCTCTCCTCAGTTTGAGCCCATCAAGACCTGAACAACAGGATTCATCTTGCAGTGCCATGGAAGTAGACAAGAACAAGGACAAAGAAGATAGTTTTCTCTCAAGTTCTGCAGATGATGAAACTGTGACCGTAGCTCTAAATTTAGGTCTTCCTTGTTCTAGCTCTTCTGATCTTGATCTAATTTCTAGACTCTCATCCACAGACACAGCCGACAAAGAAGAAGTAAGTGTTGACAATGGGTATTCCACAAGCATACTCAACAGGGGTCAGTATTGGATCCCTACCCCTGCTCAGATTCTGATTGGTCCTACACAGTTCTCATGTCCTCTTTGCTTCAAGACCTTCAACAGATATAACAACATGCAGGTATGTTTAACACACCCAAATGAACCCTGACCCAAAAAGCTCCGCTTTTTAAACCTTTTTCTTTTAGTTTTTTTCCTTTAGGTTTTTCAGAAAAAAAGAGAGAAAACCCATCTCTATCACTTGCTCCCACACTTCATCTATTCCAGCATAATTTCAACCTTTCACTTTTTGTTGTGAGCTGGAATGATGGGATGAGACTGAAGAGAAGAGTGTATATATGGGTCTTTAGGGTTTACCTTTTTCTTTTTTTCATATTCAAATAATATTCTTTTTCCGTTTTTGTTTTTATTTTCCTCATCCTTTTCTTTTTGCATGATTTGTGGGTTTCGGGATCTGAATAACTCTACCTGGTCCAACTGATCAGGCAGTGGTTAGTGCCTCTTTATTTGATTGAACAACACAAACATTGTGCTTTTTGTTGCTTGAAGTTTGTACTCTACACATTGGCACATGTGTCAAACTGAATATTTCCCATTTGTTCCTGGGTTCAGATGATCAGATCTTCATCAAAAAACAGGGAAAAACAGAAAAAGGTTTTCGATCTGAACACTCAACCTCTTTTGCAAAACAACCTCATATACATGGAAAACCACGCACATAGTATTGCTTTCTTTGTAATCAAGACATTGTACACATAAAAACCCCACAAGTTTTGTGCTTTTGAACTGTTTTTCCTATTTCAGCACCGATTTGCTTTGCTTTGCTTTCTCTTATTGTAGACTACAAGAAAATAAAGCACAAGCCAGTATTGGATAGGTAAAAAGGAAAATATTATCCGTCTGGAGCATATCCTTTTCTTTTCAAACTCGAGCTTTTACCAAAGGGTCCTTTATCTAGAAAACCTAACAGAACATAACCCAACTCAGCACCAAACAGAAGTTTAATCCAACAATCTGAACAAAATAGCACCAGATCAATGAAAAAATAAATGATTATTCTTCCCTTGAAAACAGTACTCAATAAACTAAGCAATGCTAGAAACATGGACTTTTAGGTCAGTAGATGAAGTCACCTTACTTTAGTACTTTCAATGTTATGTTGGGAGAATTACAGTTATACTCTTTGAAGTTTGTCACTTAATCACTCAGATTTCTTGACATTTGAAATATTACACACAGATTTCCTGAAATTTGTATGCTCGTAACACCTAGACCCCTGTTGTAAATATATCCGTTAATAAATTATACTTAAACTCTCCTAAAATTTGTGGGTATATAATACTTAAACCATTTAAATTTAAAATATTATACTTAGACCAAAAATATTTTAATCAAATATAAAATATAAAATATTTTAAATTTTACAACTAAAATTCATGTTTTGTTGTATCATTTATTGAAATAAAATTAAAAAAAAATTAATTTTTTTAAAAAAAATCGTAATTAGGATACAATTATATTATCTATTGAAATAAAACTAAAAAAAAATGAAACAATGGGTTTATCATAATAGAATATGAATTTTATATTCAAAATTCATGTTCTATTATGTCATTTATTGAACTAAAATAAAAAATAAAAAATTATTTAAAAAAAAAAACATAGTTAGTATATATTTATATTATCTATTAGAACAAAACTAAAAAATTAAACAAGAAATCAAACTCTAATGGATACAATATCTTTTACATATAATTGGGGTACTTTGGTATTTTAATATGGTCGTTTAAACGACTAAATTAAATTCTAATAGACAATATAATTGTATACCAATTATAATTTTTTAAGAAAAAATTGAATTTTTATTTTTAATTTTATTTTACTAAATGATATAATAGATTATGAATTTTGGTTGTAAAATTTTAAATATTTGATATTTTTTATTTGATTGGAATATTTTTGGTCTAAGTATAATATTTTAAACTTAAAAGGTCTAAGTATTAGATACTCACAAACTTTAGGGGAGTATAAACGTAATTTATTAACTGATATATTTACAACAGGGGTCTAAGTGTTACGTGCATACAAACTTCAGGGGGTCTGTGTGTAATATTTTAAATGTCCGAGTGTCTAAGTGATTAATTGACAAATCTCAGAGGATCTTGGTGTAATTCTCCCATCTATGTTTGATTTTGTTCTTATTTCAAGAGGGGAAAAAGGATTGATACTCGTTGTTAAATTTGGTTTTAGTTTGTGGTTCACAAATTTGAGTCAGAAAATAACATCTTTGCACATAAGAGCAAACATGAGTCTATATAATTCTTTGAGACCCTGGATGGTCTTTCTTTCTTTTGTCCTTTTTTTTTTCTATTGATACAGATTGTCTCTCTTCTTGCACATGTCTATGTGGCATAATCGTATAGATGCATATGTGGGGGCATGGATCTCAGTATAGGAGAGGACCAGAGTCACTAAGAGGAACACAACCAACCGCAATGCTCCGGCTTCCATGCTATTGCTGTGCACCAGGGTGCAGGAACAACATCGATCACCCGAGAGCCAAACCGCTCAAAGATTTCAGAACCCTTCAGACCCATTACAAGAGAAAGCATGGAATCAAACCATTCATGTGCAGGAAGTGTGGTAAGGCCTTTGCTGTGAGAGGTGACTGGAGAACACATGAGAAGAACTGTGGGAAGCTTTGGTATTGCTCTTGTGGCTCTGACTTCAAGCACAAAAGGTCTCTTAAAGACCACATCAAGGCATTTGGGCATGGCCATGCAGCTTATGGAATTGACTATTTTGAAGAGGAGGATGAACCTGCTTACGACATTGAGCAAGATAATGAATCCTCGCAGTGAAGTAGATGAGGTGGGCTTTAGTTATTCTGTGGTGTACTCAAAGTAAGAAGCCATTAAGAATGAGAATTACCACGAGGAAGCTTTGTTTTTTTTTTTTTGTTTCCTTAAGTTTTCCCTTTTATCCATTAGTACTGCAGGTTCTTCAATCCAATGATATCAGACCCAGTTGCAGTAAATCCAGTTTCATTCAGCTCTCTCTCTCTCTCTCTCGCCGTGTGTGTGTGGTGGTTGAGGGGGAGGGGCCTGTTGCTGCCTGTGAGGGCTGAGACAAACCAACAACTGGAGAAGAGATCATCTTTAGGGCAAAGAGCAATAGGTCCTATCAAGTTCCAGTAAATCCAGTTTTATTGACCTAATTCACTATAATTGCCCCCAAATTGTATTTTTATAAGAAAAGTAATGCTATTGAAATCTAAAAATCTTACATAACGATATAATTTTATGGGGTTCGAAAGTCTCTCCTCCTGTTGCTGTTGGAATTGTGTGTTCATCTCTGCCTGTTCGAATTCATTGCAAATTACACCTAAAAAGATCATTCGAGTCTTAATTTATATTTTCAAAGATTAAAAATTTTAATTTGGACCCTCAATGATAGAAATTTGTATTAATGTGCACTTCAATCTAACAACCATCAGTTTGTTGTTTAAAAACTAAATGGATAAATTACACATAGCCCCCCTCAATGTTGTCACTTCATCATTTAGACGCCTCACATTTGAAATATTACACGTAAATCCTTTGAGAATCCAAATATGACTAAAAATATTCTTCCAATTAGGCATTCAAATAATTTTGTTTAAGTGATGTATTACATTGGACATAAAGAACATTATATAAATACCTGCATTATATTAGACATTTAAATGATAAGATTTATTTTGAATTTTAGAGTATAACAGGCCTACAAAATAAAGTATAGTATGAAATTATAATTTTTTATTAAGATGAAATCATATTTTTTAACGGTTATATTAACATCTATCAACGACAAGAGATTATGTGTTATACGTAAACAAACGTCAAGAGGTATAGGAGTAGTAGTCTCAATGTGAGGGGTTCAAATGATTAAGTGACAAACATATAGAGATCTAGGTATAATTTATTTATTTAGTTTTAGATGACAAATTGATGGCTATTAGTTTCAGGTGCCCATTGATACAAATTGCTGTCTTTGAGGGTACAAATTAAGATTTTTGATATTTGAGGGTGTAAATTGAGATTCAAACGATCTTTCGGGATGTAATTTACAATTAACCCTAAAATATATTCAAGTAATATTGAAGATTAATTTTCCAAATTGCAAAACTGTTTGGTCAACCAAGCTCAGAATTACATTGGCCAATCAAAAAAGCTAACCATGTTTAACATATCATAAATTCATGTATTTTTTATTTTTTTGTTTTATTTTTTTTAATGTTTTGTTGAAATTAGAAGAAGATGAGAATCATATTCCAATTCCTATTAAAATACATTCGACAGAGTGAACACCAAGTAACGTTGAAGTTTTGGATATGTCAATGCTAATTTTTATTTCAAAATAAATAATAAATCTTCATTTTGTGGAAAAATAAACCATTAGATCTTGTGAATTTTTAAACATGTCTTACTCTTTAAACATAATTCTGGAAAATATCCTATTTTTACTCACATTGCTCTTTTGACATTATATTTTGATGAGTAGAGTGATCATGGAAGCTATGCGCTAAGACTTTTTATGGGTACTTTTTATGTGAGCCGTTAGAACATTATTAAAGAAATGCAAAATTAGATAGAAAAACCTATTAATTTTACCTGTCTATCTATATTTATATCTATATAATAAACGAAAAACTTATAGTTAACAAAACTAACCCTATTAAAATAATTAATGTCGCTTATATCCTACCTTCTCACATACTGCTTATACATTTCTTTTTCTTGAGGGAAGGTTTACCTATAGTCACTCATATAAAATAAATGCATCCAAACTTTATTCTTTTCATCTTAATTGTTGCAATTAATGTTAGTAAGTAGTTGGAACTTGAATCGATTTAGGACCTCCAGTTTCCATACTTATGTTAAACACTTTTCCCTTCTCTATTTGCATATCTGTCTTTCTTATTGCTTGTGCATTGCATTTTCTTTGTCGGATTAGCAGCAAATAGAGAAACATTGTTGCATTTCTTTTATTAATTCAACATGAGTTGTATTTCCTCATTTTATTGGTAAAATTGGTAGGTTTTTGTATTTAAATTTTCTTTTTGAAGTTTAGGGTTTTATTGTATTTAAGGTAATTATTTTCTCATTTCACATAATTGAGGTTGCAAATGGCTTTTGAAGTTCATTTTTGTTTTGATTTTTAGAGATCCAGGAAGAGGGGAAAAAGGAGAGAGGTCTCCATTAAGCTTGTGACAAAGCTAACAATAAGTCCAGTAATGATGCTGATAATTGAGTCTATTGAGTTTGAAGACTATAACTAATAGGTTTCCTATGGGGATGAAACTTATAACGAATATTGGACATAGTTCTATTATTTTCTTTCACTAGTATTAGGGTTTAGGGTTTAGAGTTTTTATTTTGTTCTAAAAGATTTCTTTATCTTGTTAGATCTATCTAGTCTTGATCTTATTTCATTGTTTTTGAATGGAATCGGATGCAATTCAGTGTCCAATTCCTCCAAAACCATCAGATATCAAGAGGAATTTTGCCTCTCTTTTCAAGAAACCTTCGATTTTTTTGAAAGCTGAAAATCTTGATGTTGATTTCAATTCTAATAGGAATCATCAATATTTTGTGAATTGTTGGTTAATAATACTTCTATGCCTCCGAATTTACCCTTGGTACTCAGATGATTCAATTCCCTTCCATTTCTCAAAGTTTAGTCATCCCTCAGAATCCACAGATTTCTTGATCTTCTTATTTTCCTCAAATCAACTTGTCTGGTCAAAATTCTTCTAGATCTCAGGTTCCTATATCTTTTCAGAGTTCTTTGGGTTACCAAAATCCGTTGGAATCTCATTTTTTGGTTCCTCAAGTGTCTTCGATCGAGCAAGCTTCTTCGACTGATTCTGGTAAAGCTTCTTTGGTAAATGGTTTGAGTTCTTTGATTGGGATTCCTAAGGCAGCTAAGAGAGTTGTTTATAACAACGGGGAGCCAGGGAAGTATTGGACATTGGAAGAAACTCAGGAGCTTTCAAAGGGTTTCAGCCAAACCCTAATTGGAAAGTGTGCATATGGCAAGCCATCGATGGGTGTAATCAGAGAGTTCATAACCACGAAATGGCTTCCCAAAGGTGAATTTTCTATAGGAATCTTTGACCCAAGGCATATATTGATTCAATTTAATCTTTTGGAGGACTATGTCAAGACTTGGTTGAAAGATGTCACATACATCGAAGGATTTTTGTTCATGCTTTTCAAATGGTTCCCTGAGTTTCACCAAGGGATCGAGCCTTCTATTGTCTTTATGTGGATATCATTGCTTGGTCTTCCTGTTCATCTCTTTAACAGGGAGAGTCTTCATGATATTCTAAGTCCAATTGGTTGAATATTGGTGATTAAAAATTCGACCATGCAACTGAATAGACCCAGGGTTGCTAGGGCATGTGTGGAAGTTAACTTGCTGGCTTCAAATCTTAGGAGATTTTGGCTGGACATGGGTGGGAATAGTGGTAGATGGAAACGTATTGTGTATAAGAAGGATTGCAGATATTGCACTGTTTGTCTGAAGCAAGGTCACGAAGATTCCATGTGTCGTAAAAAGAAAGGTGAGGGTGATGTAGGTGGAGGAAATAAGGGGATGGAGAAGTCGTCTGAGACTGAGAATGGTAAGGTGAATGAAGGAACTATGAATAAGGGGGAAGTGGTAAAAGAAGGGAAAGGTAAGGAGATGTTTTAGGCAGTGCAAAGAAGGAGACCAAGGAAAGAATTTAGGCAGAAGACGATTGTTACTACTCAGAGGATGAGAAATATGTTTTATGTTTTAAATCTAGAAAATGAGAAGGAGAAGGATATTGATTTTGAGAAGGGTGAACCCTCTATTAAGCTAAACAAGGAGGGGGGGGGGATAGAAGATTCTCCTTTGGTTGACATTGCGAAAGATGATGAATTGTCTTTGGAGTTGACTGCTCAGAAGAGTAAGGATGGAAATGTCAATGTGTTGGCTAGTACGTCAAAAGGTGGGCAAGAAATGGAAGAGGAAGAGTATAAGAGGGAAGAGGATGCTAGGGAAGCAGATGGGGGACTTCATGTAGGTGGTGATGAGTTGCAGAAGAGTATTGAAGTTGCTTCTGGAACCTCTTTGATAAGGAGTGGAGATGTTAATATTGACATGATGAACTTGAGTGTTGATGTAGGGAAGGAAAATGTACTTGTTTGTGGTATTAACATACAATGTTCTCCAGAAGTAAGTTCTTCTTTTCTGATTGAGCATCAGTTTAAAGTTAAGAGAATGGAAAACATATCTATGGATGATGAGTATGGATTAGTAAGGAATAAAAAACCTTATGATAAAGGATTTCTCTATGAGCAGGAGAGTTCCAAGACATGGGCTGCTTTGTCAGAAGATCTTGAAGACAATTTGCATATGATAGAAGTTATGGAGGCAAATTTGGATGCTTTGGGAGATCAAGTGGTTGTAGATTCTGTAGAGTCTAGTCCTAAGTTTAGTCCTAGAGGTGATGTTTCTCTTATTTCTTAATAATGCATTTTATGCTTTGGAATATTAGGGGAGCAGGTAAGGAGGCCCCAAGGAGTAGACTGAAAAAACTAATTGTAATGAATAAAATTTGTTTGTTGGCAATAACAGAGCCAAAAATGGCTCCTGTTAAGGTGAGGAATTTTGCTATTGCTATTGGTATGAGGTTTTTTGTGGTAATTTCATTGGCTAGAAAAAACATGTGGTTACTATAGGAAGAGAAAGTAAAAGTGAAGGTGGTTTTAGAGTTTGAACAGGCTCTGATTGTTGCTGTGGCTTACATTGGTGCTGACCCTTGTTTAGTTACTATTGCGTATACTTGTTGTGAGAGTATGATAAGGAGACCATTGTGGCAACACTTGAGATATGTTTCTTCTTCTTTCTCTATGCCCTGGCTGGTTATGAGGAATTTTAACATTGTATTGAACTGTTCTGAACGACTGGGGGGGGGGGGGGAGCTTATCCTTCAATTGTAGCTATGGATGAGTTTAAAGAGTGTGTTCAGTTTGAAGGGTTAATTGATTGTGGTTTTGAGGGGAGTAGTTTTACATGGTGTAATGGGCATCATGGAGCTTCAAGAATGTGGCAACGGTTGGATAGGGTACTGATTAATACTGGGTGGGATGCTTAGTTTAGCAGAACTCAAGTGGTGCATTTGGCTAGGGGGGGAGCTCTGACCACTGCCCTTTACTAATTAAGATCTTGGAATCAGAAATTCAAAATAGAGTTTCTTATTTTAGGTTAGATATGTGGGTAGAGGATTGTTCCTTTTTCACATTGGTGTCTGAAAATTGGGGAGATTGTTACCCAAATAATCCCATAGAGAATTTCTTTTTGAAGTTGAAATTTCACAAAGTCAAAATAAGGAGGTGGAATAAAGAGATATTTGGAGATATTTTAGAAAAAAATCAAGAAGCAAGAGTTACTTTAGGAGAATGCTGAAAGGTGTGTGGACTCTGAGTATTCTATAGCTAATGTATTGAATTTGGAGATTGCTAGGAGGAACTTGGAGGATACTCTAAGGATGGAGGAGCTATTTTGGAGACAAAAAACAAATGTGAAGTGGGCACTTGAAAGGGAGAGAAATACTAAGTTTTACCATGCAATTGCTAAAGGTAAAGCTGTAAGGGGAAAGATTAGAAGGATTAAGAATGAGGAGGGTGAGTGGTGTAGTACTGAGAGTGAGATTGCTGATAATGCAGTGTCTTTTTTTGCTAAATTGTATAAGACAGAGGATCATGTGTTGGAGGAACACTTGTTTAGTGTTATTCCTAAGTTGGTTAGTTTAGCAAATAATGAAAAGTTGATAGCAGGGGCCTTTCTTATAGAGGTAAAGGAAGTAGTTTTGGCGATGTCTGTAGAGAGTGTCCCTGGGGCAGATGGCTTTTCTGGAATGGATCTTCTTTTAGTTGTGAATTTCTTTTTAAGGGGTGGTGTGGTGACCAGATTTGTGAATGCTACTATGTTAGCTCTAATTCCAAAGGTTGGAAATCCTTACAGAGTTTAGGCCAACAAGCTTGTTCAATTTTTTGTACAAGGTATTGACTAAGATTTTATCTAATAGATTGGCTGTTTTGTTGCCTTCTTTAATCTCTGATGCTCAACATGGGGTTGTAAAAGGAAGAGGAATTGGGGATTGCATTGCTTTAGCTCAGTTTATGGTGGGAGAGTTGGATAGAAAAGTAGAGGCAGGTAACATGATCCCTAAGCTGGACATGATGAAAGCTTAGGATAGAATTGAATGGGATTTTTTGCTGAGATCTTTGAGGGATTTTGGATTTTTAGAGTTGTTTGTGATTATTATTGTAAAACCCGGGTAAATTTGAACTTTTTCCGAAAAATGGTAAAATGGTAATTTGTTGCTATTATGCGGGATTAAAATGCATATTTCTATTGAGTTCGGATGGAGCAACGAACTTCACCGTTGAATTTGTATCGCGAAATTGAGTTACTACTCAATTTTCGTCGAATTCTAAGATAATCAGATTTTATGCGTTTTTCAAGATAATTGGATGACGAATGAACTTTTAAAGGTCTCAAAAAATAGAAATTATAAAATTTCTTTATAATTGAATAAAAGTTCAAATAAAATTAATTTGAACTGAAACGTGCAGAGCAATGTGGACCCCCGCAATTAAAAAGTATAAATAGGGCGACATATCTGAAAAATCAGATATTTTCTCACCCTTGTTCAGCACACCACACGTTGGAAGTGAGAAAAGAGAGAGAAGAGGGAAAAAACAAATTTTCAAGCTTTCTTCTCCGATTTCTGAAGTTCCGTCGGTCGGAACCCTTCGGACCAAGAATTAAAGTTGGTCTACGCATACATACCAAGAACGACGCATTTCACCAAAAAAATCCTAAGGGGAGGTTTTGGAAAATCAAGGATTTTTGGATTTTGGGAGGTATTCTTGAAGTTCTACCATTGTTCTCACGCTCCAAGAGGTAGGGTTTCTCCTACCTTGGTTTATTTTCTTACTTAGATGTCATATGGAATGGGTAAAGGGAGTACATTAACCTAGGTTATTAACTAGGGTTATGGAGATAAGGAAAAAGGGATATGAAATTAGCCTAGGCAAGTTCCTTGCTACTTTTGGGTATAGGGAATTTACTTGTGAAACTTGTTGCAACTTGATAAATGTTGGCATTATATCTCGTCAATGACTTGGATCAATTTATGTGATAACACGAGTTGTTGGCTTTTGAGGTGTATTGCTAAATGCCTATGTGGAATTTAGTTGTTATGGTATGAGTTTGTATAACATGCCATGAATTTTGTTGAGAAAGCGTGAGTAAGGATATGTTGTTAATATGTTAACATCATGTTGATTGTGGTGATTATATGCAATTGATATTAATTTCCATATTGTATATTGAGATTGGTTAAATAGCTCATTTGACATAAATTGCATAATTGAGTATGACATAGACATTGCAATGGTACACTACTTTGCGTTTGCACGGGGAATACACATCCATGACCATGAGTACGGGTGTGTGAGTGCATTGGATCAATCACCATACTTGGTGTTAAATGGGTGGGCTCGAGAAAGTGGGGTTGAATATCCTACTAAGTCACATGGTTGCATACATGGAAAGCTTATGTCGGGTATAGCAAGAAGGGATAGATCCCCCCTCAGGTGGAAGGCCCCACTATTGGTTTATACACTTCCGACGGTGCAAGTCCAAAGAAAGTGTATCGGTGTGTGGAGCCGGCGGTGCAACACCAAAAGTCCACTACCTAAATAAAGACACATGGTTTTCGTTGCACAAATAATTCATTTGATGGAAAACATCCAGAAATGAATTGATTTTTATGAGTTTTGTTTCAAAATAATCTTTGGATGTATTTCATCAAAGATAAATATTTTACACACATGCATTGCATAGTATTGGGGAAGTCGGAGTAGGCTTGGGCAAAAGAAATACATGAGTGAGTCTCATCTCATATCATGACATGGCATGGAGAAATTTCATCTTGAAAAGCATGTTCTTGGATGAAATGGAATTATATTTGTAATTGTTGCATTAGACCATTGCATATGCACTTAAGTTGGGGAATAACCTCTATAGGGAATTTTCTACTAGGCGTTGGCTCACCCTATACAGAAAATATTTCAGGTGCGGGGTTTGTGCCGGGAGAGGACTCACATTCAGGGCCCCAACGATGAAGAAAAGCCAGTTTGTGGCTTTTGAAAACAAGTTTTTGTAAAACTTTGGTTAAATGCCGTTTTGACATGTAAATTATGTAAACGCATGTAGTAGAACTCGTATGCATTGTGTATAATGTAGAAAACTTCATTATACATGTTTGGAATGAGTTTGGAAAGGTTTTGGATGAATTGGAAATGAAAATATGATGAAACATAAAATTCTAGGCAAAACCTTCCGGAAGGTTAATGCAAATTTTTGGTCCAGTAGGCAAAACCTTCCGGAAAGTCTATGAAAAACTTTCTGAAAGGTACATGTAAATTTGCATCCAGTGGGCAAACCTTCCGAAAGATAAGCAAAACCTTCCGGTAGAAATTTTTCAGTGAGCAAACTTTCCTGCGGAAGATTTTCCAAAAATCTGAAAATTTAAGAATGCATTGCCATGCTTTTGGGTTTTGTGTTCTTTGGTTTTAATGACACAAATGGACCTTAAATGAAATACATTGGGATATATTGAACCTCGATGAAATTAAATAATAAAAGGAAACACAGATCCTCGTGTGAGTTGAAATCCCGATTACAGGGATGTGATAGATGTGATGTTGGGTTATGCGACAATCACGGGTATTTTTGCGGGTTGACGGGTGGTCAACAGGACCCCCGATTTTAGGGGCGTCACAATTATTAGTAATTGTTTGCATTCCCAGTTTGTTTCAGTTTGTGTGAATGGTCAAAGGTTTGGTTTTTTTCCAACATCTTGGGGATTGAGACAAGGAGATCCCATTTCTCCTTCTATCTTTATTTTAGTAGAAGAAGTTCTGAGTAGAGGTTTGGAGAAGTTGTATGTGCAGGGGAGTGTAAAGAGCTTCCATACTGGTAGGGGTTCTGTTTTGATTTCTCATTTGCTATTTGCAAATGATACCCTTTTGTTTCTAAGAGGGAATGAGAAATCTTTGGAGCAATTGATAGATTTTTTTTCTAACTACGAAAGGTGTTATGGCCAGAGGGTATGTAAATAGAAAAGCTCTTTAATTTGTTCTTCTAGAATTTCTCAAGCAAGGAGGTTGGTTTTGTTAAGGGTTGCTTAGATACCTATTAAGGACTACCCTTTCATATATCTAGGTTGTCCTTTAACTAGGGGAAGGAGTAGACTGAGATATTTTGAGGATATTGTGTTAAAGTTCAAAGAAAAATTGGAGGGTAGGTATGCAAAATTATTGTCTCATATGGGAAGATTAGTGCTTGTTCAGTCTGTGTTGAATGCAGTACCTGTTCATTTGTTGTCTTGCATGAACTTACCAAAGGGAATTCTTGCAAAGTTAAATTCTT